GAATTAATAAACCACAGCAGACACCCATTTGGGGGCGGGCAATGATTGGATGTGCAATAGATAATCTATACAACTGGTGAAGGAATGACAGAGAGTTGTGACTACTGCTCAATCCAGAGATAGAGAAGGTTAAAGAGATACAGAAGAGAAGAAACATCATACTGCCTTAGAAAAACACTCTGAGGGCTTAACACGACATAAAGATGAAAGCAGACTTCCAAAAGGACATAATTCCCATGACAAACAGATGTGAAGTATCAATGTCACAGAATTTCCCTGGGACTCTAATGGAGGCTTAACATGAATGGAGGCCTAACTACCTCCCCCCACCAACTACGCAGGATTGACAAAACAGCGCAGTGGGGAGGGAGATACGTACTGGGCGAATGTCTGCTGAGCTCCAGCTCTGGTCTCTCCAGGCTGCTCTGAAAGTCAGGAGGCAGCAGGGAAGCCACTCCCTCAGGATGGATCATCTCGTCCTCCGACTCAGCTGAAGCTTCTGCAAAGTACAGATTGGGTCGGGGCAGGGAGGGAGTGAAGGGCTAAGCATGTGGGAATATGTAGAGGAGTGAAGGAGATCAGGCAAAGTCACGGGACACAGAGTATATACTAAAAAGAGCACAGTACATAGAGAAAAACTCCCTGGGATTAAGATCTACCTCATTTAAAGGGTAGCTTAATTTACTTTTAATTCTTCCTCTTGGCAGGAATCCTCTTCTAACAGGTAAATTAAGTGTTTTCTTCCCTGACAAAAGGTAAACAAACAACTCACTTGGCTTAACTACCAAAGCAAGTAAGTAGCCGTTTCAGCCTTATTCCTGAAATTGCCTAAACAGGCCTATCTGCTCAGTGACAGGAGTAAGAATGAAAAACTCCTTTTGACAGTCTGGGCTTACCTTCAAGTTCTGCAGCTTCTCGGGCTTCACGTTCCAGACGCTGCCTAAGTAGCTCCTGCTGCTTTTCCAGATACTGCTTTATGAAACTGTTCTGGCTCATTTCCTCGCCAATCTGTGTAGAAGACATGGAAAAAAGAAAAGTCAAGGAAAGCAAACCAGGAGAAAACAGAGAAGAAAATTCGATGGAGCAAAGTTCTCCTCCTTATATTTGAGTCCCAGAAAGATAATCAAAATGTTGGAAGGCCCTCTTCTAAGCTACTCTTATTGAGGACCAAAATAAAGAACCCTATGATTCATAAAAGATGGCCAAAAGAACTGCACATTTCTTAAATTTTAATTCAGTTCCCAACCAGCAATGCCCAAATAGCTTAAAATCAAAGTTCCTGTAAAATTATGCCTTTTAATCTAAAATTTTAATCTAAAATATTATCTAAATACAGTCTAAATTTTCCTTTACGTAATAACAAGAACTGAAAAGAAATTATACTAGTTCATACTAGGTCATTTTTTTTTTTTTTTGATAAAAAAGGTCAATCTCTACCTATCCAGGAATCATTTTGTCAAACATCTCCAAAATTCAAATAACAGTACTTAAAGTATGAAAGCAAAAGATTAAGAAAAGGGATGTCTGTTCAGCATTTAGACAGAGTTTTAACTCCATTTTCTTTGGGTGGGAAGAAATCCTTGGTAACACTATTTAAAATCCAGCAGCTTAATCCCTTTTCCCATTTTTCTTGCAACACAGACTCCCACAGCACTCCTCTGTCCTTCAGTTTTCTCTTTGCAAGTCCTTCTCCCAGAACCTTCTTGCTTAGCAAGTCCTACTAGAACTCCAAAAAAATGAAAAAAATCTGAATAAATATTGTTTATGTTTTTAGTCATCTTTCCTAAGCATGGTAAACGTTTATCTTCACCTAAAATACAGATGAGTCTCTTGGTACTCAACGGACATTGATGAAGTGTGGGTTGCATGTATTAGAGAGCATATACATTTGCTGCAAAAATCCTAGGTTAATAAAAGCAAAGCTTAAAAGACTAAAATGCAATGAATGAAAGGAATATAATCACAGACTGATTAACTTACGCAGTTTCTTAAGCTTATACTTAACATCTGTAAACTGTCTAGGTTATGATATAGCTTAATGAAGTGGTAACCAGAGAGTAGGAAGGCTCTCTTGTTTTTCCACAGTATCTTGGGACTTCATCTAGTACCAGAGCCACACAACATTGCACTAACGAAGACCTGGATTTTTCCTTTACGTATATAACATGCTATAATGAGGGGATTTTAAGAGCTGAAAAGAATCTTATGAGATCACAAAGTCTAAAAATCTTATTTTTTTTACACTGTGGAATGATTTCTTCTAAAGGTATCTTATACTGAAACTCAATATACAAGATAAAGGTAGATCTAATTAAGAGGGGAGTGTGAACCCCTGCTCACTTGGGAAGAAGATTATATTTCCCAGGAAGCCCCCAAAAGCAGCTCGACAAAACCAAAGCAGAGCAGTTATAAAACTATGGATATAGTCCAAACTTCTCATATTATACATTGGAACTTAGGAATGCAGGGCCTCCAAAGGTTAAATTTCTTGCCCTAAGTAACAGAGGAATTAATGATATTTAGGAGTAAGTGCATAGTTAGCATTAACACTAGTGACGGTGGATAATTTCCACAGGATTGGATTCTTGGAAAAATCTATGTCAACACAAGAGTTATTCTTGATCAGCAAGTATTTTCTTACACTGCCCTACTGATTGTCTACTTCATATCTACATTCAAAGACATCAACTACTTTCCCCAAATGAATGGCAAGTAAATGACTTCATATTCTTGTACTACACTTAATCAATTGGAGCCACATCTTTCTGCACATACCATTGCAAGTATCAGAAATTAACTAATAGCTCTTCTAATTCGGTTCTTGAATTCTTTATTAGAGCTCAACTGTCCTGGTATGAGGAAATTTCCAACCCAGGGAACTTAGAAAAATACTGGTGAGGAATTAAGCATCAAGTATACATCATTATGTCCTTCCATATGTCTGCGCATTCAAAGAGCCCACCCTATCTAATGAACCTTTTTTCTTACCTGGGAATTTGGCTGGAATGCAGCATGGGGTGTTGAGTGTTTCTGTAAATTTTCTAGCATTAGAGCCTGGTACAGAGAAGGGCAAAAGTCAGAATCTAAGGGAATAAACCCCCAGCCCTCCCCAATCTCTTCACTGAATGCAATGACTAACCATACACACTTAACCTGTACTCCTTTTCCAAGGACCTAAAAGCCTTTTACTAATTCTCATTCATCTTCAGAAGACCCTTAAAAGTAGCCATGGTTACTGCTCTCCAAAATACAAATGTAAAATGCAGGCACATGGAGAAAATCATCGACCTGGCTATGTAATAAAATCAGTGACAGTGACAGAACCAGTACTACAGTCTGTATTATCTTCTGCACTTCTGACTAATGCCCCTTCTAAATCTGGCCATGCAGGTAAAATAACTTCAAGTCAGCTTCAAATACAGGAAACCAACAGGGGGGCTGCTGGTTTTGGCCTGACTGAATTACTTGGTCAGTTACCCAGGACAAGATCTACTTGAGTGAACTTGTATTGTTTCCAACAGAGTAGCACCTAGATTTATCAACTATGAAAATTTCAAAAAGGAGGCTATAGAGCAAAATGACCACAGACTCTAAGCTATGGCTGACCCAATCCACACACAAAACCGTCAGCTTCTGTAGAGGCAACGGTCTGTCATTTTAACCCTTGAGCCAACCCAGCCCTAATCTGCACTACAGGCCATGTATCCTAATTAACCCCAATTAAAACCAAGACATCCTCATCTTCCCTCCATTTGCACCAAATGTATACACACAAATCCACCCACCTCATGACGATCCCACCCTAAGCTACTCAAATCGATTCAAAACCCCCAACATATATCAACCTGCCCCACCTCTCTCACCAATATTCACCAAACTCTTATCCGCCCAAATTGCTTCTGGACGCCCTATAAATTATACACCCCTCTATAACCGAGTCCCTTCAAATCAAGATTTCTCTTCATCTCACCTCCTAATCTAATCAGGTAGACATTTTACTCTATCCCAATCCTATTCTTCGGGACACCAACACCGACACCAACCCCATTAACCCCTCCGCCCAACTATACCCCTAACTCCGACCCAGCCCAATTCGCCCCCCTCAGGCCAGCAACGCCGGTGGTAGTAGTGGGATTTAACTCCTTCTGCAGCGCATGCGCCGAGACCACAGACACAAACAAGGAGGGGGTGGGGGAAGGAGGAAGGAGCTTAAGACACTCCGGGAGAGTAGCGCGCACCCTCCCATTTTGGGCTCGCGCCGCTGCCGTTAAGGCGGGAACCGGCGCTATCTCTATTCCAGCGCGAGCCTCACCAACTACCGTGCGCGCGGATCCGGAGGCTCGCGCTGGCGGCCTGAGCGAGCTCGCGCGGAGCCCAGACACTGCGCCTGCGCCGCGGCAGAGACTCGTCTCTACCGGGTCCGCTCCCCTCCGACACCCCGGCAACGCCGACTTCTCACCCCTTTGAGCCGCTTGACCAGAGCACTCTTCTGCCCGCTCTTCGCTAGGCCTCGCTGCTCCAGTGCGGCCTTCAGGTCGGTCACCCGCAGCGCCTGAAGAGGCTTCCCGTCCAGAGTCACCTCCTCCAGCTCCGCCATCTTGCGTGAGGTACTCGGGTCCGTCCCGACGGCTTCGGGCATCTTCGGTAATTTCCGCCAACGCCCTTCGAACGTACCGAGCTGACCCCGCCCACTGCTATAGTCAACCCCTCGATTACCACTCAGAACTCCCCGGGTTCCTCCGGAACTGCTCGGGTATTTCCGTCTCCACATCGGCACCAATCAGTTCTTTCCCTCCTCTCAGCCGCTTCCCCCTCCCTCGCTCTGCTTTCAGAGCTCGGTTATTTTCGTCTCACCGAGGCTTTGAATCGAATGTACTCGGAAGCCCTCGACTCTGGCATAACCAAAATCGGAGTTACTCGGCTATCTCCGAACCTAAGGCTGAGGCGCTGAGGCGCTTGGGTGTTTGGGGCTGGTCCGGGACCGGAAGTGCGTGGGCTGCCGGACTGGCCCTGGTTAGGGTTTTCAGGAAACATGGAAGCGGCGGCGACTGTTGGAATTTAAGCACTTTTGTGACGGTCTTCGGGTGCCCTGTGAGAGGAAAGGGGAGGTAAGCGGGGTAGAAGTCCTTCTCTGGGCCGAGTTAGACTCGGTGTTTGCGGGTAACCCTAGTAGGGCACACTTCTCGCCCTGCTACCGATACAGCTGCCGCCTCCCAATCTCTGAATCCCCGCCACTCCCATCTAAGACTACGTTGCTCTTTGGGTCCTTGGAATGCCAGGCTGGTGGCCTCCAAAGTGGGCAAGGGGCAGCACCGTGCCTTGGGACCCAGATTGTGAACTAATTCATGATCGTTGAACTTCAGTTTGCTGTGGAGGCAAGACTCGGAGAAAGTTTTGCCTTACCCGAGTAAGAGAATAAAGTTCCTTAGGAGGAATTGCTGTGAAAAAGGCAATCTCCTTGGACTGTTTGGGTACTGAACTGATGTTGATTGCTTAGGGGTTCCTTTCTTTGTCACTACAAACCCAACTTGCCGCAGAAGGAACGCAAACAGTAAAATAGGTTATTGATAAGTAGTTTAAGGTTTTCATTGTTAGAAACTCAAACTGTGGGGGCGCCTGGGTGGCTGAGTCGTTAAGCGTCTACCTTTGGCTCAGGTCATGATCCCGGGGTCCTGGGATCGAGCCCCACATCGGGCTCCCGGCCCAGCGGGAAGCCTGCTACTCCCTCTCCCACTCCCCCTGCTTGTGTTCCTGCTCTCGCTGCCTCTCTCTTTGTCAAATAAATAAATAAAATCTTAAAAAAAAAAAAAATTCAAACTGTGGAACTTGAAATCTAGTCAAGTCAACTGACCTATTTGCATTACTGATGCAAATCAATGGCAGGGCATCCATAAATGTGTAAAGACATCAATTGTCATACATTCACAGCAGTGTAACACGTTATACTCCTAAGCCACCAAACCAACTAGACTTTTTTCAGTCTTTTTTTTTTTTTTTAAAGATTTTATTTATTTATTTGACAGAGAGACAGTGAGAGAGGGAACACAAGCAGGGGGGAGTGGAAGAGGGAGAAGCAGGCTCCCCGCCGAGCAGGGAGCCCCGTATGGAACTCCATCCCAGGACTCTGGGATCATGACGTGAGCCGAAGGCAGACACCTAATGACTGAGCCACCAGGCGCCCCGACTTTTTTCAGTCTTGAATAAACATGTGGCTTCTCCTATTTTTTCTTATTGTGTTATCTTATTTTGGGTGAGGCACCCTCACTCTGCTTTTCAAGTTTTCCTGGTGCTTTACTGGAAATATAAGGGAGTAATGGATGTTAAGAAGTTCTGGGCATATTTCAGAGGCTATATGCACATTACAAAGGCAGCTCTTTCATCATATATGATTTTTTAAATTTTTTTTCTTTTCTCACTGTTGATAGCTCTGGAATGATTAGCATCTAAGCCCAGATCAGCTGCATGTACTAGATTAAAAAATATGTACCTTTTTTCATTTCAAGGAAGATGAGATGCACCAACATAAATCATTTTTTCTTTACTCACCCTGGAACATAGAAGTAGGCCACAGAGAATGAGCAAGAAATACGTTGGTTATTTTTAGGTTTTTTTTTATGAGAATAATGGAGAGAAGCAGTGGTTGGGGAGGGTGATGAGTTTGAAAAACAGGAAGGTTGGCAAGTAAACAAAGTTAGTCTTGAGTTACCTTCTCTAAGGTGATTGCATAATAACCTATATGAAGTACCCTATTGTTTTCCTGTAAACTGAATTGTTGAAAAGTAATTTTATCTGTAGATGCTGATTGTGATAAGATTCCTTGTTGGGAAGTTGTATTTTGGTTACTCTATCTAGAGAGTATATAACAGTGCTTTTATGTTTCAGGATGCCACTGGAATCATCTTCCTCTTCGATGCCACTCTCCATCCCTTCTTCCTTACCCTCAGTACCAGACAGTATTACTAACTCTTCCCCTCCCCCAATGTCTTACATCACTTCCCAGGAGATGAAGTGTATTCTTCACTGGTTTGCCAGTTGGTCAAGTCCACAGCGTGAACGTTTCCTACAGGACCTGGTAGCTAAGGCAGTGCCAGGAAAATTACAGCCACTGCTGGAAGGGCTGGAGCAGCTTAGTGTTTCTGGAGCAAACCGACCACCTTGTATCTTTGAGTGCCAGCTACGTCTTTGGGATCAGTGGTTTCGAGGTTGGGCTGAGCAAGAGTGCAATGATTTTGTCAGGCAGCTGGAGGTCAGTGAGCCAGAATTCGTGGCAAAGTTTTACCAGGCAGTGGCTGCTACGGCTGGTAAAGACTGATGGGCATTACAAAGAAGATAATCACAGCTGATGGAGTCGCAACTTTACTGTGAGAACTTCAAATGTGTCACTTAAAGGTCTAGGGATGGTATCCTGATCAGCTGACTGAACTTGTTGACCAGTACAGGCTTGATTATTTCTTTGGGGGTGGGGAGGGGCAGAGGGAGAGGGAGAGAGAGAATCTTAAGCAGGCTCCATGCCCATCACCGAGCCTGACGCGGGGCTCGATCTCACAACCCTGAGATCATGGCCTGAGCCGAAATCAAGAGTTGGATGCTTAGCCGACTGAGCTACCCAGGCGCCCCAAGGCTTGGTTATTTCAACGTTAACAGCCTATCAGCTGGATTGCTCGCATAAATGTTTTCCATCTAAGTAAATCCAGATCAGCAGTCTGCCTCCTAGCTTGCTCCTTCTACATGTCAGACCCTCAAGAATTCTGTGGCTTTTGCAAGTATAACCAGAAGGAACCTATACATTATAACTCAAGTATATTGCTGGCCCATGGGGCTATAAAGTAGAGCCTTCCTACTCCAGAAACAGGAGAGAAGGACAATAAAAGGTCATGTTTTTATATAGTTTAACTGGATTCACATGGCTGGTTTCACTGCCCTTACCAGATCCTGGCATAATTATGTGACATCCCAACTATTGGCTTTGTTAGTGATGATTTTGTAAAATTATGGAAAAATCAGGAGGGGGAGATAATTAGTTACTCCTTTCACACTGATGTTTGTTTGAATCCAAATAGCAATGACTTTTCCTAAAGCATACGTGATATTCTTGGAGCAGGAATCTGGTAACAGATTCCTATTCTGTAAGTTTGCTTGTGATATTAAAACAAGTGACACTCTCTATAGGTTGAAGGGTTTACGTTTTGTATCAAAATAAAGAATGAATCTTCAGAACCATGTCTCTTGCTTTTTTTCATTACAAGGCTAGTATGGAGGTGATACGTAGAGGAAGAGGCATTCTGAGAAAAGTAGAACTGAAATGTACACTTGGCCATCCAGTTGTCTTCCAAGAAATAATCTGCCCTGTCTACCCTGTCATGGCTGTGGGTAACATCACACCTCCCTTATTCCTCCAGCTGGGCCCCTTGTGTCTTGGAGCTCTGGTGAATGGTGAGGGGCAGATGGTGCCACCCGAAGAGTAGCTCGTTTCTGATAGGCCACGGTTCCCAGTGCACCCACCAGAATAAGCAGTGTTAGGCAGAGTCCTGTGGACAGTGCTAGATGGGTCACAAAGGGATTACGGTCCAAGGTAACCAGCAACCTAGGAACACAGAGGTAACATTTGGCTTGGTATAATGCCTAGGCTTAGGAGGTGAAGGGCTTCACCTTTATCCTAATAGAGCTCATGAAACCCTGCCTCATCCAATCAGTAAGCTACACAGGAAATCAGAGGAATATAGAACCTGAAAGTAGGAAAAAGACCAAGATCTGAGTCTCCCAGCAACCTAAGTTGTTGGAAGGAGACCTAACTTGGCAGTGAAGGAAATGGTGTAAGGGAAGAGTTAGACTATGGTGTTTGGGAAACTGGACATGGTGCCCCGTTGGTATGTAAGGGAGGAAGAGGCCTGGGATCCCTAGGTCCTAGAGATGGAGAACTCCCTTATTATGGAGGGAAAGGTGTCCCGTAGTGACAGACCTGAGGTGATCACATGAGTTGTTTTCTGAAATTAATAACCCTGTCTAGGACCTACATATGAGTGAGTACTTAATGCAATTTCAAACATCTGGACTCCAGGAATTTGAAAGAAAACCACTTGGAATATTATCTTACTTGGTGTGTCCTGTGGTAAAGCTGGCTCCTCCAAAATGTACTTCTAGGGGCTTCTTCTGGAAAGTCAGGGTCAGGGCCCTGTGCAGCATACCAACTGAAGGCCCTTGGCAGCCAGGGGACTTGCCGATGTACACAGTGAACACCAGACTAGTGGTAGTGGAGGGGCTGTGGAAATAGCACCTATAGGGACATTTGGATCTCTTAAGGGAGGTAGAGTCCCTGGAAGAGTCTTATCTCCTGAAGCAGGTACAGGCTTAGGAGTGGGACAAAGTCTTCAGAGGAGAGTTGTGAAGTAACCCACTTAAGCTGTTCCCCTGGCCCCCTGGAGAAATCCTCAGCCTGAAGTGCCCTTTTACCTGCTAGGGCTGCCTCTGCTCACCAGAGCCTGGAGTACCGCTTCAGTCAGCCCGTCCAGCTCTTCCTTCCCCACCGAGTGGCCTGGGGGCCCAGCTAATTGTAAAGACAGCTGGAATGACAGGTCTTGGGGTGGAAGACTCACAGGTGGGGAAGTAACAGCATTGGTAACTTCGTTAGTTTGGCACAGCCGACCCCGGGGACAGAAGAGAAGACCCGAGTACCCAGGTATCTGCAAGGAAATACATAGCAGGGTGTAGTTAGGACCTCAATTGCTTGCTCAAGCCCTCCTTCTAAGGAAAAAGTACAATCTAGATCGGGGCCATGGACTCAACGGGTACTTAGTAAAAAATGAATGAACATCTAAATAGGTTGGATAGTACTACTATTCCAAGCACTTTTAAACTTCCTTTTCGCCAATGCGCTGTATGGCTTTTCACTTATGATACCCACCTGAATGGCCTTTCCAGGAAGGCATGGGGCCCAGGGTGACCCCTGTGCCTGCACCTTGTATGCTCCTCTCTCTGTGCATTGATGTAAGTAGCAGCGGCCAGTGAGCTCTGCTTCCTTCGGGTGTGGGATCTCAGAGGGATGCCCGGTCTTGTCCTCACGGAGCAGTTGTGAAGTGAGGTTGGCAAGGAAGCAACGACTCTGGGAATGGTAAATTTCCCCATGGGGGTTCTCTGCCCCAGGTGGGAACCCATTTTCCTTCTTCCAGCATTCGCTCTGAAAGGCAGAAGCAGGAGGCAGAAAAGTGTTTGCTGAGATGCCTTAGACGTTGACTCTGCTCGGGGCCTGTCTGTTTCATTCTGTTCTCTCTAGTTGTCTCACCCCATTGGCCAAGGGCTTGTACATGCGGCAGCCTTCCAGCGCGGGGTCCGAGGAACAGCTTCCCTTGTCTAGATGCAGGTAGTGGCAGCCCAGTCCACTGTGTGGAAGGGATGGCAGCTGACCACTAGGGTTCCCGATGGCCGTACAGCCCCTCAACCACGCAGCACACATACCTGCCAGTGCAGAAGAAGTCTGAGGAGCCAGCCCCACACGTAGTCACCAGGCCAAATTCCAGGCCAGATCCTGCTGGAGAGACAGGAAGAGAAAGAGCCCTCCGAACAAACAAAACGCCAAGCATCCCTCAGCGCCTGCTGTGCTCACGGCTTCGGTTCCACCTCAGCAGCAGAAAATCCCTTCCAGCCTCTCACTGCCCGCACGCTGACTCAGGTCGTGAGGGCCCCTCTGCCATCCTCCCCTGTTCTTACCCCGGCCCCACAGCAGCCCCTCCGCAGCGCTGTGATTGACTCGGTACCAGCCCGAATCTTTGAAGGCAGCAAGAGTGATGGGATCGAGTCGAGTGCGCCGGGCACCATCGAAGGTAGCAGTCATTATAGAACCCTGGAGCAGTCGGGCCTCCCAGTGCGAAGACGAAGGGCCCTAGGGAGGAGGGAGCTGGTTGCCACCCGACCGCCCCCTCTTCCTTCCAGCTCCGCCAGGTGCTCCCATTCCCACCTCTTCTTCCAAGGGAACACCTGGTGAAGCCCCTGGCACTCCCAAGTGTCTGGCCAGGCTGTGGCTAACAGTTGGGGTGGTGAGAAGCAGCTGTCCCCACTCATCTCGCCTTGTCACTTGTTGCCTTGTTGAACAGTCCTCTCTAACTGAGCACAGAAGGGGAAGAAGGCAATATGAGGAAAGGAACACTTAGGAAGGGGGGAGCAGAACTGGAAGGAAGGAGTTGGTGGGGTGGTGGTGATCCCCTCTTGTTGACGTAGTGGGAAAGCTTGCCCTCATTCCTCCCGTTTACCACCGGGTCCTGAGGGGCAATCCCGCCACTTCTTGAAGAGCTGTCCAGAGAAACCCAGAGCATGGAGCAGTTCATGGAGTGTGACCTAAGGACAAATGACCGCAGGGTGAGGGGGACGGGGGACGGAGCAGGTTGACCCGCCACTCTATAGCCCACTCTGCCCAATCAGCTCTTCCTAGAGTTGAGGCATCGTGTCCCCCATCCTTAATAGATTCTTCCACTTCATGGGAAGCTGAGTGACCTGCCCCCTCTCCCCAACCTGTTTGCGCCTTCCTACTCATCATGTAGTAGTCACCGTGACGATGTCACTGTGGCTGAGGCTGGGGCTGGTGAGATGCTGGGCACAGTAGACAATGGTCCCAGCAAGGGGTCTGTCTTCCGAGTCCAGATGGCAACAGGCAGCATAGGCCATGACAGAGGGCTGTGGATGGGCCAGGACAAGGTAGAGGAGGGAAGCAGGGAAGTGAGGGAACACAGAGGAAATCTTCCTGAAAATAGACACCCAGGGAACTCAGTACCAAGGGATGGTTTGAAAGGGCTTAGCTCCCGGCGCCTGGGTGGCTCAGCTGGTTAAGCGTTCTGCCTTCGGCTCAGGTCATGATCCCAGGGTCCTGGGATCAAGTCCCGCATTGGGCTCCCTGCTCAGCAGGGAGTCAGCTTCTCCCTCTCCCTCTGCCCCTCCCCCTTCTTGTGTGGGCAAGTGCGCACAGGCTCCCCCTCTCTATCCCTCTATATCTCTCGAAAAACAAAATTAACCTTAAAAAAAAAAAAAAAGAAAGGGCTTAGCTCGCACCCAAACTTCATCAACATGACCGAGTCACCTTGAATAAGCACAATTTAATAAAAACTGCCTTTGTGCTCCCTCCCCCTTCCCATGATATTTAAGAAAGGCAGACAGGGAAAGGGATTTGATTTGGGTCTCACCTCTCCATGGCACTTGGAAGTGTGGGCCACCCACACATACAGGAGAAAATCAGTGTCTTGGACCCCGGGCCCATCTGGCTGGACCAGTTGTGGGGGACCCTGCTCTGGCCACAATGCATAACCACGGAGATGGGCATCAGGGATCTGGCCAGGGGTGAAATGCAGCATCTAGCTTAGCAGATGAAGACAGTAGGAAACTGGGTACTGGGAGTGAGGAGTGGACAGTCTTTATCAGAATAGGGACTCCTGCCACCGCCCCCCCGCCAGGTCTCTGATTTACTAACTTGCCAGGGGGAGAAGGGTCTCAGGAATCTACATTTGTTAGGAAGC